CCCCCTTTCAACAACATTTCATGGAAGCCTGCAGTTCTGAACTTCTGAAGAAGCCAAAGAGGTTAGATTAGTTCTGACTAATCTTCCCTAATCAGGACTGTTCCTGTGTTGAAACCACTGTTTACATTCTTTTGTTCTTAAAGACGCCTAATAGTTTTGTCTATACCATTAGGTTAAAGGCTTCATTCAAAAATTATGTCTCCTGAGAACAGAATATACAGAAGTAGTTTAAGAAGAAGTCAGCAAGGAATGCGTGTCTATCTACAAAATCGAAATAAAAGCCGAGAGAGAAAAAAAAAGGGAGCAAAAGATCAGATGAAATCTGAAGAAAACAAAGCAATAATAATAGAAATGAGCATGCTACGAAGAAGAGAAACAAAAATAGAAAAGAACAAAAACCCTTTGGGGGAAGTGCATATAGAGGGAGAACTAGGAAAAGCAGAGTGTAATTATGAAGACGAGAGGGACTTGGGAACATCATAGAAAAAAGTTAAGAAAATAAACCAGAAAAGCAGAAAAAGTAAGACATGAGGATTTCCCCCCTCTAATTCTCAGTGTATTTTGAGTGTAACCTGGGAATCCTATACACAAGTTTTCAACCTTTCTTGAGTAAAGTTGGTTAATTAGTGGTGAATTATGAGCACTTCTCTTAACTATTAATGTAAAATAATGTTTGTTTTTGCGAAGGAGGGGGATACCGACCATAGTCATCGGACAGTGGACAAACCTGTGGAGTTAAATCCATTGGCAGCTGTAGAAGAGTTTGGTTGCTAACCCTCTTAGCTCTATTATGAATGCAGTGCAAACATTTTGCTTTTCCAGCCTGGCAACACCAATTATCACCACTATAGCATGTGCAAGTACTGAGAGGAGTAGCAAAAAGAACCTTCTCAGGATGGAAGAATATTTTCATCTACTTCCACCTTCCTGCCACTATATTAAATGTGTTTTAAAAAAAAAAAAAGTTTGTCCCATTCCCCTTTCTTCCCCAAAGTCACACTGTTACAGCCTCACCTGAAACACACTTCAGCTCCCTCTACAGGGTGAACAGAAGGAAGCTTTCACAAAACCAACCTCCTGAAAACAGGGACTCTATCTTTGCCAATCTGTGCCATCCACAATCTGGATCTCATATGTTATAGCTCAACCACCAGGCTGACCTGAAGCTTGACACTTCCTGAACATATTTAGCACATTGTACATTTTTGCAAGGAAACACACACACTGAATTAATGAGTACAGACTAGGCAGGGAAGAACTGGGCCCTGAAATTGGCACTATAAATCTCTATTCACTCAGGTCTCTCTTTAGCATTGGATTAGGGTAGGTAACAAAAGGAGAACAGATAAATAAGCAATATTTTAATTAAGCCAGCCATCTAGACAGGAGAATTGATGTTTTGTGTGTATGTTTTTTAAGAGACATACAGATGCTATTGTTTTGAGTGCTGTAGAAAGACTTAAGAAATGTAGATGCAGACCCCCACTTGCAGCTGAAGTCTACAATCCAGAATGCCTAATCTGCAGGTATAAATTAATATACATGATAAAAATAAAATTGTACCCATATAAAATACCATATAACGTTTATAGTAAAGTCTTTTAGAATACAGTCTCTATGCAAGATAGATAACATAAAGTTGCACTACAGGAAATAAGACAAAGAGAAACAGTTGGGTACAAAATGCCTTGCAAACCAGAGATACTATGGTAAAAATGCACAAGTAATGTTCATTAGAAAGGCACAGAAAACAATAGCAGTGAGTGTCATCCAAAATACTCGAAGTGCTGTACTGTACTTCCAAGAACAGCTAAAGAAACCTACCATGCAAAAGGAATGCTTAATGCTAAAAATCAAACATTTTTTAAAATAATGTCTGAATTAATCATTTTAAATATAAATCCAAAGGACAAAAGCACAATTTTGGGAAGGACAAGTATTACTTCAATCCTACAGAAGCAAATCATTGCCAGAGGAATAATCAGTTGGTGCCTCTGAGATAGGAAAGGCATTCTAAAAGCAGAGCTCCCACAGTCTCACATGTACACATGAATCTCTTTAATGGCACAAATCTTTTGACTGGAATATGAATGTTTTCCAGGGCTTCCATTTTACATCATTAGTGTATGAATCTACTAATCCCATTCTAACCTGCTTAAGTGTAGAATATTCAGTATGTTTAATCATAAAACAGATTTAGTACTCTTTGCCACAAATACTTGATTCTCAAGTATGATTTACCAAGTTAACAGAAGCTTGAGGAAGAGATCTAGTGCTGCAAAAAGTCATCCTCAATACTTACTTTCTGAGTATTTCCAACAGTTACGCAATGCACAAGTAAAAACAGGAGAGCACACTGGAATCGAGCAATGGAAGCTACTGTACTGATTTTGTGAGTTTAATCATGAGACCCTAAACATCCAAAGTCATCATTTGCCCTAAAAAATGTAACAGAAAACAGATAGCTGGTTAACCAGAGGAGAGACGCAATTTTGATTTCCATCTTGGTCATTGGCTCCTCAGAACACCACGAGCTGCTGTAGAGGAGGTTGTAAGTTTGCCATTGACCTGAAAAGCAGCAGAATCAGATCCAGATGTGTGGAGGGGTGGGAAAAAATAAGTGAAGTGGGTTCCTTCTGTTGCTCAACAGCAACCCCTTTGGACAATTAAGGAGCATCCTTGACGGACTCTGAAGGGAAACCCTTTTGGTCATTTTATCACTGCTAATAAAGTCATAATTATGCAACAATCTTTGGCTAGAAAGATTATACAAGCAATTTACAACCTCACTCACAACTGGAATGGAGCCTTTTCTAGAGTAGAATGTAGCATTTATTCTGCACTAGCACTTTGGTCATGATACTGGGATAAATATCCCTACTCTTGTGATCAGTGTCATTAAAAATCACCTAGTAAGTAGTCAAGGAGTTGGCCTTTCATCTCAGATAAATGAGACATCCAGAACCTTACCACAATGTCAAGGCAGAGGTTCAATATCAGCCTCTGAGAAAAGAATTAATTATACTTAACAGTTACATAGAGTTTTTCCTCTTCCAAGCACTTTATAAAAGTGAAATAATCTCCACAACAGCCCTGAAAGGTAAGTAACCATTATCCCCATTTTACAGACAGGGAAACTAAGGTATAGAGGTTGTTTCTAAACATGAAAATCTTTGTCTAGTAAAAGGCAAAAGATTTATATGGTCTCAAAAGAAACCAGTTACTTATCTAAGGCAGCAACAGCAGGAGTCCAGTGTCAAATCTAGGATTATGAATTCAGGAATTGCTGACTCCTTATCCTGTGTTTAGACTATTAGATCAGTAGCTCTCAACCTTTTTCTTTTAGAGGTCCACCCAACATGCTATAAAATCTCCATGGCTCACCTGTACCACAACAAATGGCATATAAAAGCCAGGGCTGGCATTAGGGGGTAGCAAGCAGGGCAACTGTCTGGGGCCCTGTAAAGCTACACTGCTCAGCCTTTGGCTTCAGCCCCATTCGCTGGGGCTTTAGCTTTCTGCCTTGGGCCCAAGAGAGTCTAACACGGGCCCTGCTTGGCAGACGCCCTGAAACCTGTTCCCAGACCCCCAGTTGAGAACCACTGTATTAGACTACAGTATAACTGCCTCTCTGGCAGAGGTACACTATCCTCAATTCCTGGTGCAGCCCAAGGAGATACACTGAATGCATCCGATGAAGTGAGCTGTAGCTCACGAACGCTTATGCTCAAATAAATTGGTTAGTCTCTAAGGTGCCACTAGTACTCCTTTTCTTTTTCCAAGGAGATACAGTGTCCTCAGCACTTGCACCATTGGGCCGTAAGGCAGCACTACTTTCCAGATCAGCGTGGGTTTTCTTTTGGAGGTCTCCATCAGCCTACAAGCTTTGGGAGTTAGCAGACAGATAATATGACTGCAGTTCTTCACTAGACACATGGTGACTTAAAAATAGTAGGGTGGGCCCAATATGAAGATCTCTGGGGTTCCAAAAAGTATGCAGAGGAACACCATAGGTGAGAATGAAACATCAAATAATCTTTGTAACGTATGATCCCAACTGTCTATTACACAAACAAAAGTGGGGGAAATGTAGTCTGTTGAATGACCTACATGGCCACTTGCTCCAATTCTCCTTTAATACTTACAGAATTTGATTTCCACTTAAGAAATCTGTATTAAAATACTGTAAAACAAATTATATTTGAGGAGTACATTCAGTTTATTAAATTGACATTCAGCCTACCTAAGGCCAGCCTGACGGATTAACTGGCAATATCACAGGAGCCCCCAGAAACTTTGCAGTGTGATTTTAGAAAATAAGGAAACCCTTTAAGTTCAGAAAAAAGGTGCCATTACTATGTTCAGCTTCCTGCTGTCTCACCCCTGTTCCCAGCCCTTACGTGACCAAGGTACCGAGCTCAGCCCAGTCACAACACACCCTGTAAACACCCCGCTAGTCCAGTACGGAGCAAATCCCTGCTCGCCTATTTCATGGACTGGTCTCTGGTTTTACACTCCCCGTGGCCACAGCTGTGCTCTTTACCCCGGGGCTGGGTGGAGACACCCCCCCATTCCCTGCACAGCCCTGGCAAAAGCAATCTGCACCCGGAGCCTCGTCAAGGGAGACAACAGAAGCGACTGAGGAAGTTGCATGAAGTCGTCTTCCTCCTCCTCCTCCTCCTCCTGCCCGTCCGACACAGAGGGAGGAGGGAAGCAAGGGGCCGGCCTTGGGAGGCAAAGGGACAGTGCGACGGGGAAGAGGATGCAAAACAGGGAGCCGCACAGAAGCCACGGGGGGAGGGGAAGAGGAGCAGCGGACCTGTTTCGGCATCATGGCCCCGTCCCTGCTGCCTGGAGAGGAGCGAGCGTCTCCCCGGCCCCGCGGTGCGGCAGAGCAATGCCAGAGAGGGCGGGGGCAGAGGCAGGCGCGCGAAAGGGCGATAACTTTGGGGGACAGCTGCCTGGAGCCGGGCTAGACCGCGCGGGAGAAGGGGACTTACCCATGTTCCTGCCCGGAGGAGAGCCGCTCTCTGGGTCCTGCTCAGGGCAGCTGCCTGCGCCTCTAGCCAGCGGCCGGGGAGGGACACGCGGGAGCAGCGGGGACCCGGCGGGGCGGGGCGGCGGCTAGCGCGGGGAGGCGGCGGCGGCGGCGGCGGGAGCAGCCCGGCAGCAAGTGCCCGTCCCCGGCGCCTCGGGGTGCGCGCGGCGGCAGGGGCGGGGGGCTACGTGCGTTCCAGGCCGGCCCCTGCTGTCGGGGAGGGGAGGCGGAGAGCGAAGCGGGAGCCCGGCTCTGTCTGTCTGTCTGTGTCTGTGTGTGTGTGTGTGTGTCGCTGCCTGCCGCGGCGGTGTCGATTGGATTATGAGTCAGTGTGTAGTACATCCGGGCAAGGCCCTCCTCTGGAGACACCCGGCCCAGCGGCACCCAGAGACCCGGGAGGAGGAGCTGCCGAGGCCGCGGCAGCCGCACGGATGCACAGAAGTCGCTGCTTCTCCGGCTTTTGCTCCCGCCCCGTGGACGATCGGGTTTCACTCCGTGCCCGTGCCGTGTCAATCCGCGCCGGCTGCTGTTTAGCATGAATACCTGGGTAGGAACCCATAGGGGGCTTTGCAGGCAAACTCAGGTTTTCCTGGCCAGAGATCCCTACGGCGCCAGGAGTTTTCCGGCCCAGCCCAGCCCAGTCCCTGTGCAGAGCTCCTCACCCATAGCCTCAGTCATGGAGCAGTTGTCATGTTGTATGCGTTATTATTTATTAGTGTCTTATCATTTGCAAATCATATTGACAGATATGTTAAGGCCGCCAGAGAAAATGTGTGGGGAAGAGATTTGCATATAACATTTGGCCATGCTATCCTATATGTCCTCCTATAACGTTTAGCGCTTGCATTGTAGGACGTAGCTAGGCAGAGCCATGAAGGCCCATCGAGCCAGGTAATTAGCTCTGTTTTAGACTATGAACCCATTTTATAGCTCTTTCTATCATTGTAGACCGAGCCTGGTTGATAAATATTCGAGACTATCATTGTTTTTAAAAGTTCGCCCTCGCCCTTCCCCCCACGGACCAGCCCTGGCTTTCACAATCATGTTACTGGGGTTTTACATGTTTTAAGACTCTCTTGTAAAAATGGCTTCAGGACAATGGCTACTTTTCCACCGTAGACAACCCAAGGCCCCAGTTAGAACCCCACCTAGTAAATATGTGTAAAGTGATTTTAACACATCTTGGTCTATGCTTACAAGGAAAAGCATGTTCAACCCATGCTGTCTGATCCCATGTTTCATTTTTTAAATTCTCACAGAAGAATAAATTACCGATTATTTCCTCTTTAAAAAAAAGACTTCCAGCAATAGATTCATAGACATTACGGTCAGAAGGGACCATTATAATAGTCTAGTCTGACCTCCTGCACGACGACGCAGGCCACAGAAGCTCACCCACCCACTCCTGCAATAAACCTCTCACCTATGTCTGAGGCATTGAAGTCTTCAAATCATGGTTTAAAGACTTCAAGGAGCAGAGAATCCTCCAGCAAGTGACCCGTGCCCCATGCTACAGAGGAATGCAAAAAACCCCCAGGGCCTCTTCCAATCTGCCCTGGAGGAAAATTCCTTCCTGACCCCACACTCGCACCACTTCCATCCTTTGACTCCTAAACCTCTGCTAACCAAAACATAAAAAACAGGAAATTAATCATTTTTAAAAAAAAACAAACACATACCCCAAGCAGACCCTGAAAAAGGAGATGAGTCAGAGATGTCATGAAGTCTGCTAGGGACTTCAGTGTTGCTATTGATTTTAAATGGAAAGCGCTCACTATTACTGTGATGGGTTGCAGTATAATACTTTAATATAGATAGAATATCCAAGGTGTGCATGATGCTTCACAGATACAAGATTTTAACAATGTTTCCACCCAGGGAGTTTGCAATCTAATTTGTACAGGTAACACAAATAAAGACAGTGCCTGTTTGTTTTTTTTCAATTTGTTTGTTTTTAATGTTTAGAGTAAATTGACCTCTTGATAGTGGGTTTTGTATTTGTTTGTGGGGTTTTTGTCTGTTTTCATTTTAACGTTTGTAGTAAGTTGACCTCTTCATAATGTTTTTTTCCTGCTTTTGAAATACAGAGCCAAATTTTCTTCTCAGTTAAAATGGTATAATCCTGACGTCAGTGGGGTTGCACCATTGTAACTGAAAGGAGAGTTTAAACTACAGCATAATGATGTGACATACCTTTTTCCCACTGGAGGACAGAACAATCTTTGGAGGACTCAGAATATGACATCACTGCCTGAGGTGGCTGAAAGCTGAGAAACAATTCTCTCATTTTAAGACCCAGCACTCCATTCCCTTTTATGTATTAGGAGCTGGGAGAGCTGTAGCTCAGGTTGCAATCTGAATAAAGTCACATTCCAGGTCTTCCAAAGGCTGCCAGAGTCTTCTAAGAAAAAGAGGCAAGAAAGAATGGAGTTCATGTAACAAAAAAGCCAACATCTGCCTCCCAAAAAACGCTTATTCAGCTGTCTTCATACCTCATAAAGGAGAACAAAGAGTACATTATTTTGTGTTTTGGATTTTGAGTTTAAAATGTCAGCAAGGAGTGATGGGACAATTAAGAGTGTGCACTGTCACATAGGACTCCTAAATCTTGCACAAATATGAACTTGTTTTGTTATGGCTGAGGTTGGGAGCTGTTCTCTCATGATGAGATTTGCTGTCATAAGAGGAAGTGAAGACTAGAAATACATGTATCCAGAATAGGAGCAGCAGATGAAACTGGGAATCTTTAAGTACTTTTTTCTTTTGCCTATTAGCAGCTGCTGCAAAAGCATTGACAGTGGTAAAGGTTTATCCGAAAAGCCACATTGTGTGTCAAATGGGATTTGAACAAAACTATGACACACTTATAAAAAGGTAGATGGAGTGATTTTGAACAGGAAGCAAGAACTTGATTTTGTCTCATTGCCTTTAATAGAAACAATTTATAAATAAAGATGCCTTTCACTAAAAGAGAAATATTTGTAAAAAGAAAAGGAGTACTTGTGGCACCTTAGAGACTAACCAATTTATTTGAGCATGAGCTTTCGTGAGCTACAGCTCACTTCATCAGATGCATACCGTGGAAACTGTGTGTATATAATGTCTTCTGCAGTTTCCACGGTATGCATCTGACGAAGTGAGCTGTAGCTCACGAAAGCTTATGCTCAAATAAATTGGTTAGTCTCTAAGGTGCCACAAATACATACATACATACATACATGTATGTTAACTAATATGGAAAACTAATACATTAATCTTTTTTAGAAAAGTGTTGGAAAAAATCATTTAAAAAGTTGCACGTGAGCTGCATGGTTTTGTAATTATTTTTTCCTAGTGTTTTAAAACTGCAGATTGTTTAAATAGAAACTTGATTCTCTTTTAATCTGCAGTTCGCATAATTTGGTAGTTGATATAACATAGAGATTCTGAAATGATCCTAGAAGCAAAAAGTTCCTGTATCCCTCTGCCTCATCAACTCTTCGTCAATTTTCAGATCTCATCTAAAAATATCTTTCCTTCCTTGTCTTTGCTTCTTAGTTTCTTTGTCCTTCAGCAATATTTCTTTTTTACTTGAACTTTGTAACTATGTCCCAAATGTTTCTTTCAACTTGTTTGGAAAACAAGAGACTGTGACAGCCTCTCTTCACTAATCTAGATCTGTAGGATGGGGGGAAGGTGCTGGCAGGGTTTGGCAGATGCCCTTCTTCACAATTTTGTTCCATTTCCAAATGCATGGCATAAACCAGAGAAAAAATAAAGCGGCTGACTAAGACCCTGATCCTGGTAAGACCTACACATGTACTTAACGAGACTTCAGTGGCACATTTAAAGTTAAACACATATGTAGGTCTTTGCGGGATCAGGGCATTATTTGGTATAGGTGCCTCCTTATACTGTGAGCCCTTCCACGAGGGGTTTCTGTGAGCGGTATCTCCTGAGAGAGTCCAGCTTCCAGTGAATTGCGAAGAGGGAACTGAAGGCACAGCAGCTCCTTGCAGATGGTGCTGTTCTCTAGCAGATGCCAGAGAACTGCACAGATCTCCGTGGCATCACTGGATTCTTTGAACTGAACCTGCTGTTACTTCTCTGGAGAGAGGGCAAATACTGTGTCTCTCCCATCCCTTACATGCTGTAAGGAGGAAATTTCTGCTGTTGGAAATACCTAGGGCCTGCTTCTCTATTGCCCTGTGCCTTATCTAGTAGTTTAAATCAGGGCCAAAAGGGTATAAAATGCTACCAAATCAAAATGGTAGTATTTTTTGCAGATACAAAGTGGGTGAGGTAATATATTTTATTTGACCAACTTATTTTTGCACTCCTTTTGGTGTAAATGGTTACATAAAGTGCAGTGCAAAAGAGAACCTCCAAGAGAGGAATTTCCAGTCTCCTGTGGTGCATGGGAATAACGTACGTAGGGGAGCCTCAGGCTCTCATTATTTAAAAAGCTTTGTGAGATACAGTTTGTGTGAAAGACAAAATAATTATGCATTGTATTTTATAAAGGGTTAGCAACTATGAAATATGGTAGATTACGATGACTGGGAAAGCCTGTGAGAATGTAATTAAAATTAATGAAATGATCATGTAGTTAAAGATACATCAACAAGGAAAAATAACTGGGAAATAGAAGCAATGTATTATGTTTCTAGTGGAGTTAATTATAAAAATCAGAAAACAATGTTATAGCCTATTAAATGCATGCTGGGGGTGGTTTAATTCCTTAGTGAGGTGGAGGAAGAGTCTGAGGGGACCTTTGGAAGAGATAGTAAGGGTGTGACTACCTGGTGGTCAACATTGAAAATTTGTCCCTTACAGAGAAAATACCATGAAAATTGTACTTTGAATTGCAGAATTATAGAACAAACTTATGCAGCCAGCAATATAGCTGTGTTCTCAACCATTGAGGATGGTTTTAAGACCTGCCTTGGAACAGTGAAAACTGGGTCACTGTGACCTTCCACTTCATGTCACTTTATGAATTTTCCTTTTCATATACTGTATCAGCTTCAAAGGCTCAGCACTTCTCCTCACCACTGGCTTAGCTTTCCTTTGAAAACTTCTAGCATACGTTCTCTCATGCAGTGTGGCACAATTCAGAAGAACCAAGAAGTATGTTAGGCGGAAGAGAACAGACGTTGGATGCTGTTCCAATAGTGGAAAGAACACACTGGCTTTCAGCTTTATTTCTCTTAACAATGAGAGAAACTCACTCAACCCCGTTCAGATATACACCCTTAACATTATTCTAAAATGAAGGTTCTCAGCATTTCCAGGAAACAGCTTTGCTTTCTGAGATCTATAACTGGTCTGTAAAACCTATTCCCAAGCTGACTATTTTAGTCATGTTACAATCATCATGGTTTTTAATAAATCTGATTTGGTCATGTTTAAGTTATAGAAATGTGAAAATAACTGTGTATGCAGTGTTGTGACTCCATA